GACAGCCCTTTTACAGCTGAAGAAATATCAAAAACTATCTCTACACTAAATAGGTATAAAAGTTGTGATATAAATAATAATGTTGCGGATTTTTTCATTGACTCTAACAACTTTATTGTGCCATATCTTGTTATTATATTTAATAAAATATTTGACTCCGGCTTATACCCGGAGTCGTGGTGTAAGGGTATTATAATACCAATACATAAAAAGGGGGATACTAGTAATCCGTCAAATTATAGGGGAATAACACTTGTAAACGTAATTGGTAAAATCTTTTCATTGCTGTTAAGAAATAGGTTGAATAAATGGTGTGAACAATGTGATGTATTTAATGGATCACAATTTGGTTTTAGAGATAAGCATTCGACAACTGATTGTATATTCATTTTACATTCGATTATTCAAAAGGTTTTATCTAATAAGTCTAAATTATATTGTGCTTTTATCGATTATGAAAAAGCTTTTGATACTGTGATTCGGGATGCATTATGGGTTAAACTTTTAAAAACGGGTATAAGTTGTAAAATGATTAATATTATTAGGTCAATATATACGAATGTTAAATCATGTGTTAGATTGTCCCGAAACATGAAACTATCAGAATTTTTTGACGTCACTATGGGCTTAAAGCAAGGGGAACCACTCTCCCCATTACTTTTTATTTTGTTCATAAATGATATAAATGAAAGTCTTGATTTTAACCTGTTAACTGAAAAAGATTTAGATATGTTGAGTATGTACATGTTACTTTTTGCTGATGATATAGCTCTTTTTACCACTAGTCCTGATAGTCTTCAAGCACAACTAAACATGGTTCAAAATTATTCTACAAAATGGGGTCTTAAGATTAATGTTAAAAAGACAAAAATTTGTATTTTTGAGAAAAGAAAACAACCGTGTAATTATGTTTGGACGATAAATGATGAAATTGTAGAAGTTGTTGATAATTTTACTTATCTTGGTGTAAATTTTACTTATACAGGTAATTTAAAAAATTCTGTTAAAAATTTATCAGATCAAGCTCTTAAGGCTTATAATTCACTATTACAATTGTTTTATAGAGTGAACTTAGATATTAAAACTAAACTAGCTCTTTTTGATTCTATGGTTGTACCAATAATTTTGTATTGCTCTGATGTATGGGGAATTTATGATTTTAAGGAGGTAGATAAACTTCATATCAAATTTTGTAAAATTGTTTTAGGTGTGAAACAACAAACTCCAAATGCTGCGGTTTTTGGCGAGCTAGGAAGGTACCCTCTCTCTGTTATTAGTAAAGAGAGATCATTACAATACTGGCTAAAAATAATGAATAATCAAAATTCACCAATGTATAAATTATATATTGAACAATGTAACACAAATAACAATAATTCATGGGCATCTAAGATTAAAACATTAGTAGATGATTTAGGATGTAGTTATATTTATTTAACTCCCTGGGTCAATTACAACTTTGCACCTATTTTAAAGCAGAGGTTACGAGATCAATATGTACAAAAATGGCATGAATGTTTAGAAGACATGTCCAAATTGGAATATTATAGAATGTATAAACAATGTTTTGGTTTTGAAAAATATTTGGAATGTATTAATATAGATAAATTTAGAAAATGCATGACATGCTTTAGATTAAGTTCTCATAGTTTAGAAATTGAGGTTGGTAGATATCAAGGTATGCATAGAAATGAACGAATCTGTAAAGCTTGTAATACAAATTTAGTTGAATCGGAATATCACTTTTTGTTAACGTGCCCTATATATTCTGAAATAAGAACAAAATATTTAGGTAATTGTTCATGGCCTAGTAGGCAAAAATTTTCAAACATTATGTCCTGTAAGAGTAAGAATAAGTTACATAAAACTGCCAAATATTTGTATGAAGCATTTCAAATAAGAAAAAGATTTGTCGATGTAGAAGCTGCTTCTTAATTAGCATTATATAATTACACTTCACTATACTGTATATTTGTGACAATTTGTGTAGGTAATATGTATATTTATTATGTACTAGCACTGTATTATGTACTGTTTTATATGTTTATGTTGTCTTGGCCATATTCTTCACTTTGCAAATGTTAAATTGGCCAAAGGCATGTTATTATGCCGATTTGCTGAATAAACTGAAACTGAAACTGAAACTGGTGTTTGTTTGTAGTTGTTTTCCTTTGAACAAGCATGCACAGTATAAATTAATCGGCAGGTTTTAAGTAGGGGTTTTAATTGATCAATTAGGTAGTAATATTCTCTGTATTAGATCCGATCAGATTTTAGTTTTATTTTCCATTCCTTTGGTATGCATTCTGTGGGTTGGAACCTTAGAGATATTTTAAAATATTTGATTTATTATTTAGTTTTATATTCGTATTGTTCCATATTATTTCTTTTCCAACATATGTTACTTCTTTATTGAAGTTTGCATCCGACACAGAGTACGTCCTTTAAAAATCTAAATCTGATATGAAGTTTTGCAATATCTTGTTTGGCTAAATTACATTTAAATATATAAGTTGTATGTCATATCTATTTAACATGTTTTCATATACTTTAACCCATTTTGAGTGCCGTTGCCATTAAATGCGTTTAACCCATGAGCATTTTAAGGATTATATAAAACTTTTAATATCTAATATTTTAAGCACCAATGACGGTAATCGTATCTCTATGTATGTTTTGTCTCAGAAAGTTAAACATGAGCTCTTTTTGTTATTTATGATATTTTGTTCTGGATTGTGTAAGAGGATGAAAAATGTTTGGGTACTGCAAAAGATTTAAGAACAGTTATTTTTTTCCAAAAATATTTAGTTTCCACCTTTTCCATTTGTGCAAACACTCCGAATTATTTAAATTTAAGTATTAAATTAGCATTAAGCATGTCGTTATTGTTATAAGTGAAAGTTTTATTGCGTGCTAGCTTTTTCAGATGTCCAGTTAAATTCATTGTCATTGCAGAAATTGATTTTGTGTATTTCTTAAACATCAAAGGTTTAAAAGAGTGTATTTATCTTTATTCAATTTTAGATTTCATATATATGAAATTTTTAAATGCTGCCATTAGCATTAGAACTCCATTAGTTATATAAAGCATGCATCGTCGGTACGAAGTGTTTGTTAAAGTTCGATGCTAACGATCATTTTGCTTTTAATAGATTCATCTCTTATTCTGCCCGTAATGTTTTCCCATTATACGTTTTAGTTAGCGTGGTCATTAAATGAGACTTTTTCTTGTATTGATGATTTTATTTTATTTTTCAGTATCTAAAAGTAACGAATTGTTAAGTTTAAAATATCACGGACCTTGTTACATTGTATAAGTTTATATAAATCATAACAATAGAATGGTCTGAATTATTACCAGTTTTTATTTGCAAGACTGTCAATTGATTGAGAGCACAAATTCTTCTTAGACAGTCAAACCAGCACAATATTGCCGAGTTATTATTAGAATGCCATGAAAAATGTTTTCATTCTAAAACATCACAAAAATCAAATATATCAATTAATTCATTTACCTTTTTAGTTCGCTTGTATGTTCGTTAAATTGTGTCACTTTTCCAGTTTAGTTTGTCTAAAGAATGATTAAAAACAGTACCAAAATCTCCGCCAACAAGTAGTATTTCGTCACTAAATTTATATAGATTTGTTTCTAATATATTGAAAAAATTGATATCGTCGTTATTTGGCGCATAAATGTTGAATATATTTATCAACTTTTCCTCGATTTCTTGTTTAATTCGTTGCATTCTGACCATAATAATGTCTTGATATTCTAAATTTTTACAATCACAAGACGTATTAATAAAAATGATGACTTCTGAGCTGTAGTACTATTTCCGCTTAAGTAAGATTTTCCGCTTGGACGACCAATTTTCTGTATCATCAGTGTTTCGGTTATAATGTACTTCTTGCATTAATACTACTGCGAACTTCTGTTGGTCAATAAGCCAACACAGAACTCGGTCACGTTTGTTTGTCGATGCTAATCCGTTTACATTAAATGTACATGTAACATTGTTGTATTTTTTGTTCTACTAAATGAAACGCAAATAGTTAGTAAGTATGACTTCTTTACATAGATCAAATAATGCTTATATTTCCCCCGTAGACTAGGGGTATATCCCAAAGGAATTGCCACAGAAATAAGATGCTTACGGCTATTTTTATTTTCGAATCGAGCAATATTTGTCTAGGAAATGATGTCGAAAATGACGTCACGACCACATGGTATTGCTACGCTATTGATACAGGAAAAAGTTATGGAACGGACAAGATTTCACCTCTATGTGTGACATAGACCTTGAGGCTAAAGGTAAGGTCTTGTACATGACAAACCGATTTGTTATGCTTAACATTACAACCAAAACATCAAAATCCATTGATGCATGAAAGAGTTGTATGCGGGACAAGATATCGACCATCTGACCTTTGACCTCTAAGCGTGATATTGACCTTGGAACTAACGGTCTAGGTCTTATGCATGTTTCACTTCATTATCATGCTGAACCTTTTTGTCAAATTGTTTAATTAAAAAAAAACATGAAAGATAAATTAACCGGGCATGATTTGTAACTGCTGACATTTGGCCACTAAGTGCGCATAGACCTTGGAGCTAGAGGTTTTAGTCTTGTGCATGATACACTAATTCATATGCTTAACATTACTTCCATATTCTCTACAAATCCCCTGATGCACGAAACTAGCAGTCAATGTCTTATGAATTAAACACCGTTTTATAATTAAAATTGTTTCAAAAACCCTTAAATACATGAAAGACAATTTTCGAAAACCCGCGTTACTGGATACAAACGGTGATGTAGAACATCAAATAATTTAACTTCAGGAAATTATACAGTTAGTTATTCACATTAGATTATATTGTTTAAAACATACTAATCATATTTATTATATAATAAGTACCCACACAAACATGAGTGGAAACTAGATAAGAAACATTTATGAAGAAGAGGAAGAAGAAGAGGAAGAAGAAGAAGAAGAAGAAGAAGAAAATAATTCTTTATTTTAAAATCCACATATAAACAACAACAGTCTGGTTTAGGCTAATGAGCCCTTGACCTGACACAAAATATAACTACAACATTCTGAGCAATACAATGCATTACACAATACAATGACGGACATTTAATGATAAATTACTCACTTCCAACATACATACATACATACATACATACATACATACATACATACATACATACATTTTAGTATTTGACAAATTGTCTTGTATCGAAAACGAAAGTACATGACGAATGTGACGCATACAAGGCATTTATAATATAAACGATAATCAAGATTTGTTTATTATAAAACAAAAGACATATTACGGCTAGACTTTATTTGAATCACTTAAAAACATAGGTTAATATTTATTATTTCGATCCTAACGAATTTTTTAATGGTAGATATTTAAAAGAGAAAAAAAGAAGAAAATACAAGTAATACTAAAATACTTGAATCACCCATTCATTAATCCCGACATAACGTTATGCCATAACTTTGTATTTCGAACTTATTGCAAAACACTCGTAAAGAAATCACAATGATATCTCTCAAGATAATAATTATGTTATCTTAGAAAATATTTTGGCTAATTAACAACCATATGAATATATTGAAGATAGTGTTATCCATGTGCAAACATACAAGTGTTATCCATTTGCAAATATAAACACACAAGTATGACAAAAATGAAATTTAAAAGAGTTTAGCGTTTGGTGGAACGACCTTATTATTTTGGTTTTAAACCGATTGGATCCAGTGGTGGAGTTGCAGGTCGTGGAGGTGGACTTTCTGGCAACTCAATTTTTTTGACAGGTGAATATGATGTATGTACCACATGAACTTCTTTTTTCGAATCATCTGAAGACTCATGTTTAGAATGATAGGTATTACTCTGGTTATCAGACGTGCTACTAGGAAAAGCAGCTTGAACGACTTCTGTAATCTTAGAAGAACTATTGCTCCCTCTGTTTCCCATTTTAGAAACTGAAGATACAGAAAACATTATTTTGTTACTTTAAGTTACAAACAAAATCAACAACAGACAAAACCAAACAAAAACAAACAAACAAAAACAACGCTGATTATAATAATACAAACAATACAATCTAATCACACATAACTTCGTCATATGGCCTATTATCAGAGTTACTGTTTTAAGAGTAGAGCTACATAGCGTTTTACATAGAGATCAAAATTTACGTTTATAAAAACAATATCCTCACATACCTGTTTTTATGATTACAAAATGTGTATAGATAAAGAATGGTAAACTCATTTTTTAACATTAATAAGCAAACAAGTATCAATATTAAGATAAATGCATATTATTTACCTTCTACTAAATATGAATGCAAGCAGTCTGCCAGTCACGATTAATTGGAGAATAAACAGAACGGTATCACAAATATCGCCACCTCTGCAAATAGTGAAGTGACTGTTATATAAAAGAGGTAGTTATTATGTCATTTTTGATATAAACTAAGAATATTGCAATTCGCTTTCTAAGTGCATTATAAATACATTTGTATTCAAAAATGTTCTCCTTATAAGATTTCAACTGTGTTAAGCATATGCGTATAAAATATAGTTACGTTTCAACTTTAGTGTTAAATAAAAGAATTATTAAATGAATGAAACTTTTGAATTCTAAGAAAAAGAATAAAAACACAAACGTGAAATACAAACGTAATCGTATTTTACAACAAATGTGTTTTGTTCAAAGAAGACTGGTTAATGTCTTCTTTTTACTATCGTTAATGACCTTTTTGCAGGTCTATTTCAATATCTCCTCCGAAATCTTTACATTTATTTATTCACATTTATTATCTTTTAGATATGTCAAAAGCATGATCACATGAAACGTTGCATTTAATTGTAACAACGGTTCAATCGTTTGCTATATCATATACCTTTATTTTCAATCGATCAACCTGCTTACAACCGTTATGTTACAACAGTCCGAATGTATTTGTTCAACCCTTTTCGTTATCGTTTTAAATGTTTGTTTTTTTCCAAAAACATGGATGACCGTTTGAAAAATTGGAATATTCCATTATTTTTTGTCTCTGCTGCCCACATTTTTGTAACATATGCAATACAGATTACTCGGTCAATTTAGGAACATTCTGAAACCCTAAAACACCTTTAATTTTTGTTTGAAACTGATTAAAGCGTTTGTGGATGTGGCTTTTTACAAATAAATGAGAAAATGTAAATCAATTGATGAACTTGTTGCATGTGCATTGATTGCCATGTGACCACATTGCAGTGTTAACAAACAATATGGTCACATGGTTATTTACAGAATAAACTCCTCTCATAGTTCAAATTTGAATTTTTTCTATCATTTGTTATGAAATTTTAGGAACCTTTTTCTTCATACAATTTTAAATTTCTTATCTAGACTGATAGATTAATAATTTAGCTTCATTTAGGATTTCTTTCATTGTTAATAAACATTTATAAACATCGCATTTAAAAATTAAAAATAAATCTCTCCTAAGCTGAATACAGTTTCAAATTATATGGGAAACTACCCACCAGCATTTACCTCCCTTTTTATACATAGATTGGGTCTTCAAAGAACAAGTGATCTTTGTTGAATACTGCCTAAGCCGGTGCTAAGGGAAAGTAACTTGCACTTTCCATTTTCGTTCATAAACAGGCTCAATCAAACAATTTGTTCAAAGTTTGCCTTTAGTGTCAAAATTGGCCCAAACCAGAGACATAAATAACAGAGATAGGCAACTTCTTGGCCAGTAAAGATATCACGCGTGCTTGCTTAATCTTAAAACTTGTAGCAAGTAAAACTTATGAAGCAGATATCAAAATCAGTAAAGTAATACATTTTATGAAAGCTTATGCATTTGTCTATGACTGCAGGTAAAAACATTTACAATTCCCATTTAAATAATTGACACATTTGTTTTTAAAGAGAAATGAACTACTTATTAATTGATTCTTGTCTATTCTTGTTTGGTGTACATTTATAAAATTTGGACCATGTTCACACAATAGGATATCGCAGAATTGCAAAATGCTTCCAATTAGTTTTTTGTCGACTCAAAGAAAAAATATTTTTTCATTAATAATGTAGCACACCAAAGATTGGCTTAAGTATTTGAAATGATTTTAAAACACGTTTAGAGTTTTACTATCTTAGTTAAGCCTGAAAACGGGTAAAATTTTGTTTGCAAGTTTGGGAGGAAAAAAATATTTTCCCGTTTTTAAGACTAAACTAGGCAGTAAATTTTAACGTTTAAAAAAATAATATCAAGTACTAAAGCCAGTCTTTAGTGCGCTTATTATATTTTGAAATTCAAATAATAAAACATATTTTACTTTCGATTGGAAGCATTTTGCAGGTGCAAGATAACGTAACTTATCCTATTTTCACAGTTTTACATGTAAAATTGTACTTTGGTATCAGCTAACTAATCTTTTAATGTACAACTATGATGTTATGACCATGTGCACACAGTTTTAAATGTAATATTGAACTTTGGTATTACCCTACCTAGATTTTGATGACCTTTTTGATTTTTTACATACAGCAATGAGATTTTGACCATTTGCACTACTTCAGTGTGTAAAACTGAAAATTTATATAAAATGAACTAAATATTACCTAGTGACCTTCTTTCTAATTTTGATGTACAGCTATTAAATTAGGACCATGTATACAGTATAAATAAAAATCAACATATTTTACATGAAGCATCGTGTAGAAACCAATATTGTTCCAATCCTTGTTACAAGAAAAGCATTGATGCAAAGCATCAAAGGGCGTCCAAGCAAGAAATAAGAAAGTGAAGATGAACTAGTAGACATATGATGTAAAGATATTCTTATAAACTTTTCAATTGTTAATTGGTTTTTACCAAAATGAACGGACGGAAGACATTGTTCATTATGAACTTTGATTGGCAACGGATATACATGTATACAATCATTTATCATCCATACCCATGTGTAACGCATGATCAACACCACACTTGTGGAATTGTCCCTTATTATGTATTCGCTATTAGCGAAGACCCCCTCTTAAGGTATCTGTTCACATTTAGTAAAAATATGACACTGGTTATATTACCATGTCATGTTGAGCATTATTGTTTATTATACAATAACTGTAATATCTATTTTAATAACAAAAAAATTAATACAGATTTTATGAATATTGTTTTCCTCTCTCTTTTTGTGTTTTTATGTGCTATTTTAATACTGAGTTTTTTTACGTTTACTATTCTTTTTTTATTAAAATTGTAAAATAAATTTTAAGAATTCAAATGACCGACGATTATAAGTCAAAACTTTACTGGAAAAAGTCAGTAAATTATGGTTAATCTTTCAATATATAATATTATTTATTCTTAAACCATGTACATGTACATTTGTATTTTTCTTAATCATTTTTAAATTATCATTCAAAATCAAATAATTAATAAAATCTAATTTGTTACTTTGAATAATTCACCGGCATCTTTACTAAACACGAATAACAAATAAAATAAAATGTTTCAAAGTTAATAGAGTCATATTAAAACCATAAAAATGTACCTTTTTTCACAATTATTGTACATATTTATAGTTTATATCTCGTATAGATGAAATGAAACATGCTATTGTTGTTGTTGTTGCTTTTTTTTTGAATTGTATGTTTATGTATAATAATAATCAATATATTTGAGAGTTGATCTATGTTTATTAATTATTGTAACCAAACTAAGTGACAAACATTCATTTTGGAAAAAAGCTTATTTATCTGTAAAATATTTGTTCTGTTCTGTAACGATATCAAACATCTACTCCAAAAACCGGGAGAGATCGGACAATCAACGTGTGATACTTTTCGCCGGTCACTAGTATCACGGTCAAAATAGACCGGGAGAGACCGGAATTACTGATAGGAGTACATCCCTCTATAAATAGATTTTCGGAATATTTAGGTCATCAACTCATCATTCTATTTTAATATACCATGATAACCCACTGTGTACTACAAAATGATAAATAAAAAACCGAAGAGACGGAAAAGGTTATTGCATTTGAAAATGAAAAGGTTATTGCATTTGAAAATGTTTGCATTGCGAAATCCTCCAGTTCGCTATTCATTGTAACATATCGCGACATTTAATTAATAATCAAGCACCCTCGGTATGATCGGAATGATCGGCTTTTATCATGACCGACTTAAAGGCTCGAGAAGTTGCTGTCGCCCTTTCACAAAATCTGATTTCGTTCCATAAAGGGGCGCCGCGCTTCGGCGCGGACGCCAATAACACTAGATTTCACTTCTTTTACACAAATAACAGTCTGTCCTCAAGTGAGCGCTTTTTGGCCAATGGCTCCCTTGCTTTTTTGTTTTTGTTTTTAAGTTTTGTCTTAGTTTAAGTCTTATTCCATATTGGTGAGTTTCAACAATGTTTATATACTTATGTAAAGAGTGTTTATACCATCGTTGAACCTGCCTTTCCGAACATTTTATTTCCATATAGGAGAAAACATTCATATCTAGTTATATACAAATTTAAGATAACCATGTTCAAGAAAGAAAAATCAAGTTATAATTTGTATACGCCCGTTTCAAAAACGGGTCGTATTAAAGATTCCCCCCTGGCGGGCGGCGTTCAATTTTGTTCGGAGCATATCTCCTAAAAGCATGGAGGAATTTTAATGAAACTTCATAGAAATGTGAATCACTGTGAGAAGACGTGTCGCGCGCATAAACCAATTTCTAGGTCAAAGGTCAAGGTCATATTAAGAGGTCATTGAAAAACGCTTGTCCGGAGCAAAACTTCTACATTCACAGAGGGATTTCAAAATAACTTGCACAAATGTTCACCTCTGTGAGGCGGAGAGTCGCGTGCAAAATGTTGGTCCCTGCGGCCAAGGTCAAAGTTCAAATATAAAATATGAAAATGTGTATTCGGACCATTAAGTAGGGATTGAAACACAAATGGTCATTATCATAACTTCTCGTGTGAAACATGTAATTTATATTAATATATGCAATGTCAAGGTCACTAAAGATGATAAAATATAGAAATTATGTCCACAGCATATCTCCTCCACGCATGGCGAGATTCTAATGAAACTTCATATAAATGTTCACCACTATGAGAATCGGTGTCACGTGCATGAACTAGGTCTCCAGGTCACTTGAGATGATAAAATATCCAGATATTTTCCGGAAATTGCCCAGAGCATATCTCCTATTTGAATATCTATGATGCCCACATCTCTCTCAAAAGCTTTTATGATGGGCGTATTTTGCGACAATATTGCCCTTGTTGATAATGTTAAAAAACACTGAATTTTCATGCTAATCAGTAAACATACATGAAAGCTGTTGGTTGGGTTGTAAGATGGGATGGTAAATCATCAAAACAAAACTAAAGGAATACCAAAATGCCTAAGAGCTGTAAATACATATTCTTCAAATCTTATTTATCACGCTTTTACTATTAAGGGTAGTTTTACTCCATGCCTCTTTGCTGTGCTTCACCACCTTTTTTAAAGCGGTTTCACTGTTTGAAAAGAGTAAAAAATGAGGACAGATACTCACAGATTTGGGTCTTCAACTCTCAACAGCAGTAGACTTGAAAAGACAGCAAGACACGAAGACAATAAATAATTATTTCACCAGTGAAAATACTTGTTTATTTGTTTTACCACTGCCAGGCAACAGCATTTTTGAACTGTCAATTGCATTTTTAGCCATACACAACCACGTCCCGCATTCACCCCCACGTATGCTTAAGTACTCCCTGTTACACTGAAAAGTGGATGTGTGAACCCAATGTTAACTAGGGGACACACATCCTTGTTGATCTTAAGTCTCGTATTTTACACCAAGTTGCGTTTAAATTTGTAACTTTTAAAAACATTGACATTTTTAATATTAATGCATGGACAGATACTCTTAACAACATTAGTATCAATAAAAGTACTGACATGAAATACAACGTCTATAAGGCACACAAGGAACATCTTGGTCCATATACACATGTTAATTCTAATGGTAGAAATAATTTTTTATACAGATAAAACTGCTCATTGCCAGCTTATACAAATAGAAAAGCAAATTATTTTAAAAGAACTTACAGATGCCAACAACTTCGTTTTGAAATGAAGTATATGCTATCTCTTCTATATTTGCGTATCTTCTAATCTGTCTTAAAAATGGTTAACATTTCAACACTGCGACAAAGAATGAAATACTTCCGCGTTCTTATCAGTCATTACGTTGGTGTCAGACTGATATCAATCGATTGTTATCAAAATTCCATTTTATTTAGTACCGCTCATTGTTTTCTCGTGGACCGTAACTTGCAATTACAAGTATCGTCCATGAATAGGCTCAGTCAAATAGAGCCTGCAACATTTTCAATGTTATTGTCTTGGACCTTCTTTAGGGATTCTATTTTCCCCATTTAGTGTTTAAAAACGGTACAGACCAGACATGCTACTGGTCATTATTTTCCGTTGACTTATTAGAACTCGGTCCCGTCAATTTTCGCCTTTTATAGTAAATCTGTCACATTGGGAGAATATCGGAGGGCGGATAATCTGTAATAGTTTCAGTTTACGTGTGTACCGGGAAAAAAGATAGTGACATTAATTTTCGTGGATTAATTGATATTCACATATCAATCACAGCCTTTTTTGCAGTTAACCGTGATATTTACTTAGCATTTAAGTACCATTTAAGTGATTATCCTGTCTGTGCTCTGTCTTGCACCCTGTCCTGTTTTTGTTTGGGGCCTCCTGGGCTCCTTGTCGCAGGTTCTTATTGTTGGATTGTTCATTGAAATTCGCCTTTTCTTGTTGATTTGTTTATCATATGCAGTTTTAATACTCAAAAACCACTGGTTCTCACTGTGATTATTCTGCTGTTATAGTGACCTTTCATTTATTCTTTCATCATGCCAGTAACACAAAGAAACAAAAATTGATGAGTAAAAACAAATAGCGCAACCAACTGATTCCCTTTTAGAGTCTCGTTTTGATAAGTTTGAGGACATGATCAAGGAATGTGTTGGTAAAATTGATTCCGTTTTGATAAGTATGAGGACATGATCAAGGAATGTGTTGGTAAAATTGATTCTATGTAGGTGAAGACCAATGTTCTCGTAAATAACTCTGTATTGGACGGTGCTGAGCAGTATTCTCGAAGAGAAACATCAGAATAGAGAACTTTGGATCATCTGGCGACCTGATTGATGCTGTCCTTGATCTGTTAAATCACAGTGTAAGCATATGTAATGAATCAGTAGACACTAACGAATCTCAATCATTATTAAGTAGCATTGGACACAACAGTTGGGCAAACAGTCAACAACAGGTTACTCCTTTCTCTAGGGCGGAAATTAGTGATTGTCATTTTACAAGAGAAGAAGCAGGTTATTGTCAAGTTTGTCTTATGGCAGTCGGTGAAAGCTGTCTAATAGATACAGGAAGTATTTTAAATCATGGTCTTATGATTTCTACAAATCAGTGCACATCATGGATGATGTCACTCCATTACGTTTGAGATAAAAGGTAGTGGTGTCTAAAATCCCTGATATGGAGACAATAGTTTTTGAGATGGGAACGTTTATTGAAGATTTAAGGTAGAACACCCCTAATTAGCACTATAAGAACTGTAAAATTGACAAGATAGGACAGTTATATGCCTTAAAGGTCACCTGTATGCAAAATTAAAACAACATTTAGCGTGTGGTTTATGAGTTATGGACATTTTGCTGAACTAAAACTTTGCTATTAGAAGGGCTCTTCAGAAATAAGGAAACTCTAAAAAATTTATAATATCATTATTGTGAAAAAAGTTTTCTTATTGCTCATTGTTAAGAAACAAATAATAATATTCAGGTTACAAATGTTTTTAATATGAATAAAAATGTTACCCAACAACACACACTTTAAACACTTATTTGACCTTTTACCTAAGTAAAAAGCCTTATTCAAAATATCAATAAAATTTACCACAATGAGGGGCTGTTTTCAAAGTTTGCCTATATTTTCTTAAAAGTATATTGGTTGATCTTTCAAAATATAAATATTTTTACCCTGCAGTTTTTATTTTATTTAACTTTAAAAATATCTGGTTTCATATTTGCTGTTAAATTTGTCATTTGTTTAGCAAAAATACCTTCAATAATTATAAAATTAAAATCAAGCACTTTTTTCTTTTTATAAGAGATCTGAGAGATTCATAAATAATGTTAAAAAAGAAGAAGAAAAAAAGAAAGAAAAAGTTGCCTCCTTTGGGGTTTGAACTCATGCCCCTCAGTTTCAATGCAGTTGACAGTGATTCTATCCTATTTGTATACTCTACAAAGTGGAGGTAAGGCTTTAGGGGTAGACTACGGCAAAAATTATAAGCTGACATCACCAGATGATATTTTCAGTGTACTGAAGGTTAATCATAGTGAAGAAATGATGAGCGAGATGGGTTTACAGAATTTCTTATAGGATGAGCAGGAGGATAATGAATAGATTAAGCCTATTTGTATTGCTGAAAATAAACAAAACTTAAAATTTATTTTTATTCAAATCTGTATTTGACCATTATTATTGTGTTGAAAGAAAAAAAATGTACTGTTGATAAGAATGCATATTAAAATATTGCTTATGTCAATGTGTGTGGTCTTGTTTCAAATTTAAATAACCCAGATTTTATAGACTTTGTTAAAACATTTGATGTTTTTCATTTTGCTGAATATAAATTAGATGATTTTGACCAACCTTGTTTGAATGGTTATGTATACTTTGGTAAAAATCGTTTAAAGTTGCCCGTTCTTCACTTTAGCGTTGTAATATTTTTCTGGTCCTTCGGGATCATTGAATCTAACAGTTTTAACAAGATCAGTCACACTCGACTAACTAAATACTAGTTCTGGACGCAGTAAAGGGACGCAAAACTATTAAAAAATAATCAGCTATGATATATATTAATTTCTTCATCAGTATCAAGAAAACAACCAAATCTTCAATATTCCATCACATAATACACGGGGGAGGAACTGTTACACGAAGGATGGAGTTCTCTTTATAACTTGTCAGGAGTTCTATGATAACTGTAACGGATTTCCTCGAAAACGGATTTCGTCGATTTTCCAAATGTCACGGAGTTCTTGTGATCACTCAGAAGACATCCTAGGGCCCTTATGATAACTTTTACTACTGCCAGTGTGTTTCTTGTGCTAAGTTACGGCACGTGTTAACACGGCGAAATCCATAACGTTTTGCAGTCCAATTTGGTCGGCATCAAACAGACTATTTTTGATCGCCTCTGGTGCAGGAGCCCCTGTACTTAAACGAAATTTATTTGGAAATGGATTCATAAGGTTAGAAATTGTTCTTTGAGTTTTGTGACATTTTTTTCAGATGCAGCTTTACTTGCATATATAGAATATCATTTTCGTTTCATGGGGTGTTTTAAAAGACTTGTCTTTTACATTTGAACAATACTTGTATAAAGTGTATGCTTACTTTGATCAAGAAATATAATCTAAACTTTACCTATAATGAAAACAATAACATGACGGTTCTTTTTATTTGTATCCAATACCCTCAGGTGTACTGTTTATTTAAATATATTTTCTGCTACATTCTAGGCAAATAATTTATCTTCTTCGGCAGTACATCCATCACCATTCTTTAGAAACATGAGTCATTATTTGGCTTTGTATGGCATTCAGTTGCAACATTGCGTACAAATTTATTTGGATTGAAAGATTGAAAGTCAGTTTTTAAAATGAAGAGTTATATAACTACCATTTTTATTGATTAAAGCACCATTTATTTCATGAAGCCCGTTATTTCTTAACATTAAATTACTGCTTTTTTCCAAAACTTAGTAAAAATAAAACAGTATTATGCCAATCATGTTCTGATCTAAAATGTTACTAGACTTAAACGACAGCTTATCACGCCATGTAAGACAGAAATTGAAGATAACAATACCACGATGTATATCTGTGTCACTCCAACAAACTTAATTGAGAATTAAAAGCGAGAAGCGAATGATTGAGCCTCCGTCAACGCTTTAAAACAACAAGAGGCAACCTAACAGAATAGTCATACATGTCTTTCATAAACCTTTAGT